TCAACTTTCCATTAATATGCTTTGGAATAGCACTATGAACAACCAGCTTTTCTTTTTTTTTTTTTTTTTTTGCAATGACCTTTGGTAACTTACAGTCTATTTGGAGGATGTCAGTGTGTGTTTAATGGAGAACTGTGAGGCCAACATTTATCCCCAGGATTGTGTAGACGTATAAATGGCTAAAACACAACATATTAAAAATCACTTCTTGTAAGATTTATGTCAAACTTGATTATCTTGAATGAAACAAAATCTTAATTCACCCATTCACTAAATAGCAATATTATTGAAAATGTCATTATTTGTGTTACACTATTCACCAAGTGAAACACAAATTATGTAAATTAATGCCACATGGAGTGATGTTTCATAACATTTATATCGGTTATTTATTGTCTGAAATATGACATTTAAGATGTTACAGAGAAATAAAACGAACAAACAGCAATATAGGTTTAACAAACAATGTTCAACACTTGACAAATGAGCCTCATCTGAACACATTTTAAAAGTTTTTCAGTATCTGTAACATGCATGTAATGTACTTTTGTACTAATGTAACCTTAATGGACCTTAACCCATTTTCAGAAGTGAGGAAGTCTTCTGCATGTGACAGGAAACATCTTCAACAAACAAGAGAAAATGTCCAGTTGTCTTTTGTTGAAACACGCAGGAACGTGTAAAATCTTCCGTCATGAGGATTATGTTTATCCGCTTCAAGCCATTTTGACATAGATTGCAGAACAGTTTATTGTTCCTGCTTACACATGCAAACATGGAATGCAGACCATCTTAGTGTAAATTATAACAAGATCAAATATAGATTACTTAATTATAAACTCATTAGTTGTAAAATAAAACAACCCCTTTAAATTCTATCTAGTGTTTCTTGTGCTGTTTTTTTTAATTGTCTTTAAAACTATGCAGTAATAGAGAGAAACAATAAGCGTGAAGATAAATGATGTGTAATAAAGGTGCATTCACCTGGGAATTAAAGCAGAAAGTCTCGGCTTGAGGGCATCTTTTCGCATTCGGTATGCACCATAAGCGCTCAGAGAACAGCTTACAGTTATAGTGCGCTATTTAAAGCCATTTGTAGTCAAAGCCATCTTGCACTAGCCAGCTGAAGTACTATGATTCAGGTCCTGACCTGGAGCTGCAGGCCAAAGCTCACATGCATGAAAGCGTTAAAAAAAGAAACACAACTCCTGCATCTACAGGTTGACGTTTTTGTGGCAAACATTCTTTTTAAAGCCATAAAAAAAAAAAAACTGCGTCAACTCTGCTATTCAGGGTTACAGCCTCTTTTCCTGATTAGCCCCAGCGCCTCATCAATAGGCTTGACTGTCTGCTCCGGTCATCCAGACAAACAGCTCTTTCTGCTCAACAGCTCAGAGAGGAGTTAATTATGGCACAGCACATGGCTGGCATACTGGGCCATGGCCTCACCAGCAAAAGAAGCATGAATGTGTCACAAGATGCCCTGCAGTTTGATTCATGTGATAAGAAAGGACACAGAGGCCAACGCTTGAACAGGAGAAAATGCAAAACCAAAACAAAGGAAGAATTTATTTGAAGAAAACAGAAATGATTGGATAGTCAACTAAAATATAGATATCTGTCAGAAACATAATATTTGATATTCTTAGTTAAGACTAGGACAAATAAAATCTATTTCCTCCTTAGGCCTACAATACTCATATTTTTGTTCTGTTATTGATAAGAGACGGTTAGAGACCATGTATATGTTACACAGGCAGGGGATTTGCTTTCTTGTAGAAGCAAAAACTAAAGCCAAGCTAAATCAGAGATAAAGTTAAATCATAAAACGTCAAAAGAAAGCAATAATTTGCATGACGCCACCCAGTGGTGGTGGCTGAAGGACTAATTGTAGATTCTGTTGGGCTTCAAAAGTCTGGATCTCAGTTTCAATATGTAAAATCAGGCGGTGAGAATGCAAAGTTGGAAAATCCATAAGCAGCTCCAAGTTCAGTACCCAACATGGATGCTGCATTTTGCAGCATCTGTACTAAAAAGCTTGAATTTCCATGTTCTGTGTTGAAAATATTAGATGGAAATCCTCCAGAACATAGAATAATGACTTGGAAACTCAAATGGTGTACATAGTTTTTGTAAATATATTTCTTTACTGATAACACTAACACTACTAGCATTTTGATTTGCATTATGGATGTGCAGCAACTGTGTGATGCCTTCATGTTAATCTGGACCAAAATCTCTAAGGAATATTTCCAACTTATTGTTAAGGATATGTTGTAATTAAAAAAACATTGAACAGAAAAAGGGTTTGAACCTGTACACACAATTTGTGTCTAACAAAGCGGCCAGTGACTATAATATTTGTATGGACATTAAGCTGTTGCACAGTTTGATAACACCTGGTTGCCTCCAAAAAAAACACGCGTTGTGCAGGACCACCTATCTGCATCTCTTTCCTCAGATTAGCTTTACTTTAACTAAACCTCAGTCGTGTTTGCTGTGAAACAGATAAGGCTCTCAGTTTGTTGTTGTGGGATCACCTCTTTGCCTTTTCGCTCTCGTCATCTCATAACGATTGCCTGGCCTCCAGTGTGTTGACAAGAGCTGTGTTGGCTTTTTCCTGAGGGCTTCATTTTCTTCCAGTGATGCATTCAGCAGCCCACCCCCACATCCCATCAAACACACTCCAATGAAGATCTCATTTTGCTCTTGTTAGAGTTCATTGACTAAATAAATTACTGACAGATACTGAAGCCGAAGCATAATGTTACCAGGGTTAATATTTAAAATAACTGGATTAATCACTTTCACTGTTTTCCTTTCATTTACTCCTGGTAGGTTGTCTGCAGATGGAGAACATGGAGATTTTAGGTGCAGCCAAGGAACTAAAGTAAACCTGGCAATCTGCAAATGCCCTGGTTGGTTTTATTGTGCATTTTAAACATTTCAAACAGGTGAGAACATGTTAGCCCCTATGAAAACTAATGCAGCTGTCAGTTTTCAGACTCTGCATCTCTGTGTAGCATCAACAGCATCAAGATCATCCGCAGCTATGAGTGTTTTTGCCTCTGCTTTAGTTTTCTTTTTCCAGGTAGTGAAAAGCAACAACCTCAAAGCACGAGGATTAATAATGCAGAAGAAGACAGGCAGCGTATTGATTGATTGATCGAGTAAGTGCCATTATCCTCCAATCAGTCAAAAAAGGCAATTAAGAGCTTGACACAGAGTGACGTCACATGCTGCCCTCTGGTGGATGGAAACGTACAATAAGCACAACAGAACTATATTTTGAGCTGATTTATTACATTTCAACTAATAAATTAAATAGCATAAATCAACATATTTACAGAGACTAATTGAGGGAATCCATTCATAAACAAAACGCTAAACTTTACTATAATTACATGGATTACGCGACTCTCCCACAGCGGCAAAGTCAATAACATGATGCAATCTGAAATAGTTCCTCAGCTGGATAAAATTTTATTATCTGGCTTTAAATGATCACCTGAGTGAATCTGAATAGTGCTGGAATAAACTGAACTGATTCAAAATTAATTTGGACCAGTTTGATTCTGGAAAACTGGATATAAACTGGATCTGTCTTGATATTTGGTGGAACTTATGAATAAACTGAATCAAACTATTTCTTCTTTTTCTTCCCAATCACCTTCAGTAGCCAATGAGGCTCAGTAAATCTATATTAAAATATAGAATGTTTAGTTAAAATACAATCCTATGTTGTAAAAAAAACATGTTTTAAAAATTAAGAAATAATGTAAGATTACAGTTGTTTTTCATTTCAGTTTAATGTTTTTTTTGTAACTTGTGTTAAAACATCATTTTCATTTTCCTTCTTTCCCCTTTGTTCTGTAACAAACTCATAAATAGTAAGAACATTTTACTGGAACAATGTTGCATTTTAAACCTTAAAATTCAAATACAAATTCAGGACAAGAAACATGGATTATTCTCCAACTCTCTAAAGTTGTCGATATGTTTCTTAAATGTCAGGTGTTTTTGACACAAGTTCGTAAAATCAAAATTGATTTTAAACTAAATCTACCACCAGATGTCCCATTTAAGATTTATGTTGGAACATAGAAAATTGTTAAAATTGTGATCATGTTTTACTTGTAAAGAATTGTTGGTATCTATGCGACTTCCAAGATATTTGCTGTCTGCTCATAACGGACAACAAATAACTGTAAAGCTTGTGAAACTATTTGGTATATAATACACATTTTGTACTTTTATGTACAGTAGCAACAATTTCCAAAAGAAAGTTTTTCTGTTTAAAGAGCCAAGGTGAAGACAGTGATTTAATTAATTGAAAAGTGTATATAATACTTTTGTGTGTGGCCTAAATAACGTTGAAGCTGCAGGTTGAAGACCCAGAAGTGTGCAGGAAATAATATACAAAGGGAGCAAGTGTTTCTTTTTTTTAGTTAATAGAACTTTATTTAATTTTATATCTGCATTCTCATTCAAAAGGCAAGAAAATAGAAAAGGAGACAGAAAGTGGATCATGAATATAAATATACAAAGAGAAGGTTTGTTTTTACAACCAGTAACAATCAAGAAATTAAATTAACCATATTTGACATGAGGCACAGCCATCTGAATTACGAAAAGCAAATTCTGCCAGAAGCCGCATTGGACACAGGCCAAATGGTAATTAACATTTAACTTCGTGCAACTGCCCAACATTAAAAATGTACCATAACATTGTCCCACAGGCAACAAAACACTTTGCTTTGCTTCCAGTGCACCATCTTCTCCTTCCCATACTTTGGCAAAGCTACATATTTACAAGTCAGTCTTGATGTTTTCCAGAACTTGTGCGCATCATTTCTCCCGTTGAAATGGAAAATATGAAAAACTCCAAAATACACAGTGACACACCCATGCAGATACAGTCAAGTTTTTCTGTAAAACACATGGCACGGGTCAAACAGCTCCAGCTGGTCCATCAGAAAGAGAAGCACAGTAGTACAGTCAGGATGTAGAACAGGATGACTGAATAGGCCACATTGGTCAGAACTGGCACGGGTTTACTTCTGTTACCATAAAACATCCACTTACAGTCAAATTCCAAACCCCAATTAAAATCATCAGAAGCCACATTCACAAATAGTACAATTAAGAACTTGGCACAAACTCTGACAAAGTATTTACTGAACGTGCAGATTAACGAGAGATACTCGTTGAAATACACAGAAGTCAAGATGCTAGTGCAACCGTACAGTAAATAGGAGTAAGATTGATTTCAACATAACACAATAAATAAAGGATGATAAAGCAAATACTAAGGACAAAATCCAACAACCAGCAAAAACAGCTAAGTTACAATTTCCAGACGGGAATTCAACAAAAGGCACATACATTATGTACCGGCCAACAGACGCACATGCTCAGGCACTGACGTTTAGTACGGGATCTGGTTTTGGTAGTACTGGAGCATATCGTACGTTCGGCTCCTGTACGTAACAGAAAAGAGGAATCAGTCAGAAAAAATAAATAAAAATTCTGGAGTTTAACACTGAAAAATGAAACGTGGATCAAATTCACCGACCTGTTGCTGAGGAAGCAGTTCTGGATGACTTTAATGATGAAGGAAGCTGCATCTTTCTCACTCATGCCAGGGTTGAATCGTTGACTGCATGTACAGAAACATTATAAGCAACAACAGCTAGTGGTATTTTAAACACTATTTTAAACACTAAATCACCAAAAGTCGAGCGGGACTCACGTGAGTAGTTTGATGGTCTGCCCTCTGAAGCAGGGAAGTCCTGTGTCCAGCATGAGATTTACTAAAGAGACCACGGCGTCCATGTAGGGCCTGAATCAATGCAGGAAAATGGATTATTATCATCATTTCAAAACTATCTCACTGTGCAGTTATCATTTACTCTAGGCTGGTGGTGCTCCCTCTAGGTGATGGGCAATGTCATTACAGGAAGCCACAAGTTGGTTCCTGATATTTCTTTGATTAATTAAACATTGCCCGTTTTTTTAATCGGTCCTCCTGAGATTGGGGACTAAAGATGGGCTTCGGTCTCTTCGCAAGCTCACCTCACAGCCAGGTATCCCCTCACACACATCTCCATGAACCACTTGAAGGGCGTCGCCTCCATCTTCCCACCCATGATCATCACCATCTCATCCGTCAGTTTGATATCCGGCTCCCAGCCAAGATTCCCTCCAGGAGAACTTTCAAACATGAACCCAAAGTCTAAAAGGCATAAACAGCCACAAACGTGATGGTTAAAGGTTGGGACTCTCTAGTGCAACATGATATTTTGCCACTATAAATACACATGAGGCTACTTTAAAACAGCTATAAATATTGTGGATAAAAGATTAAATAAAAGGAATAACTATACATTCAAAGATTTTTGTTTTCACTGTAGCTATAATTAGTGACGTCCAACAATTTCTAGAAAAAATATAGCTGATATTTACTATATTTCAATATATACTTTACTTTTTAAAGCGCTTGTTTTCTAGACATATTTAATTGGCAACACATCATTTCTTGCTTCCCAGAGGTATAAATATGTCAGCGGCTCTCTTTTTTGTTATAGTAAGAAAGTCGAGAGAACATGGGATTTATTAAGGAAGATGTGTGTTTATATCAGAAAAAAAAAGAAAACAAACTCAGACTCTGACAGAACTGCAGCAAGAAATTTGAAACTCTACTTTATAAATCAAAAATAAATATATTTTAAGGTTGTTTTTTCTTTTCTTACACATCTTCACCAGGAGTGCCAATATATGTGAGAGGTTCTTTATATTTTGCAAATGTTGCCAGAGTTTTTAAAGTTTTCTTTCCATGCACAGATGTTTTGCGAAACTGTTGCAAAAACATTCCAGAGAGACGAAAACAAAAAACATGCTGCACCGATGTGAATGAGATGGCCCTGGCTGTCCAGCATGATGTTGCCGTTGTGTCTGTCTTTTATCTGCAGCAGGAAGAGCAGCAAGCTGTACGCTGCCATACTGCGGATGAAGTTATATCGTGCCTGGAAAGACAAGCATTAGTGGGGATGTAAGTCTGCACTGCAGCGACAGGAACATTTGGATGAATAATGTCAGGAAGCCTCTGTGAGTTTACCTTCTGAAATGCGAGTGTGGATTCGTCTCCATACTGATTCCTGAAGTAATCGTACATGCCAAAGTCGGTCTGTCGGCCCAGTTGGTCCCGAGACTTGCAGTCAGGGATGCACTCAATCACTCCACACTAAGAAAGCAGAGATATTTCATGTATATAAAAAGGCTGAATTACAGAAAGTATGTCCATAACTTCATAATTCAACACTTGAGTTTGTAGTTTCTATTTAAGGTCTACTCTGTAGTAACTAAGTAAATAGGGATCATGTACATTTTTCACATTAGCACCACAATTTCCAGAATGTTCAGCCCCTTTAGCTGGATTTCAAAGTTACATAGAGAAAATCACTTTAAATTTAAAGTTAATAAACTTGTAAAATAGTGATGCTTTCAACCTGCTAAAACAGGACAACGTATGCATGTATGCGTGTATCTTTTAGACAACGTGACGGGGTATAAAGTATCTGCCAAATATTTTTCCTTTCACTTATTTTCTTTTTAGAAATAAAATAAATAAAAAGGGAAGTAATTCCACACTATTTTAGACTTTAGAGGAACCCTATGTGAGTCGGTACCTCTTCTTTTACGAGGGTTTTGAGTTGGTATGTTTTAGTTCTTGAAAGCTTTTGTACAATTAATTTGGACCGGTTACCCTTTCATACTCCCTTTTCCTACAGGTACAAATCTTGTGATATTTTTCGACTTCTTAGTGTCAGGAAGAGTAAAGTCTTACTCCAGGTGCTGTGGCGACCACTCTGTACGGAAATACATAGAGATCCAGCCCCACCATCTGGAAGATGTTCTTGAACAGGCTGATGATCTGCAGAGCCAACATGTCCTGAAAACACACAAAAAAACTAAATGGTAAGAAAAAGATAATCTGTTAAAAGATGATCTGTGATGACATCAGGCAATCGAGCAATCGAGACCTGTCTGCAGTCGTCTCCAACTTTGAAGATTGCCGCCTGCCAGCAGGCACTGGCCTCTTCCTCAACGTCCTTCTCATCCTCAGAACGTAATTGGCACCGAAGACCTGAAGGAAGTTGTGCAAAATATTGAGAATGTATAAATCTTTACATGTTGTGGGCAATTTATCACACAAAGTTGAATACTTTGTTTGACCAACAGTACCTTCTTTTTCCAGCTCACTCACTCCACATCTCTTAACTTTGAACTTGGCCAAGTACGGTGCTTTGGCAGCACTGAGTAGAGGTGCAAGAGGGAGAAAGTGATTTTTAAACTTTTTACAGACAAAGATAATTTGCTAATTCTGATCGTTTGTGGTTGATTTGTAACCCACCTCTGCATGGGAGTACCGGACTTATAATCTATGTCCAAAACTATGGCCTCAGGGTTACTGGGAAGGTAACAGCCATGCTGGACTTTAATCTGCGCCAATGCCTCCAGACAGGCCTTCTTCCTCTCTTCCCCTTTAGGAATAGGTCTGAAAAAGACAAACAAAAACAAGTTAAAAACAAGTTTTCCAATCTCTGTGTTTGAATGTTTGTTACTTAGACTACTGAGCTCTATGGGCATCAAACTAAATGACTGCAGACCACAAGTGACAGCGTTCTTCTGATGCAAGTCACAGAGGAGAGTCACTAATACTGAGAGGAGGCCTGGGGACAGCAGAGATTTCTCCCCTGTTGTTGCAATTAGTGCTGTAATGAGGGCAGAGGGGAAACTTTCCGCCTCTTGTGAGCTGACAGAACACCTTCTGTCAGAAACCAGCTCATTGGCTCCAAATATTCACTGACATATGATAACACAGCAAAGTGTTTTCCAGGGCAATAGATAATGAAAATGACAGAGGAGCAAATAGTCACTAAATTAATGAACAACAAAGGGATTCAGAGGCAGGAAGTGAAACAAAACACCTTCGCCGTTGGGAAAACGCATCATAAACCTCAACAGATTACCTGCCGTGTTTTCCTCAACAAAAACTACTCACTAGTAACTTTAAGACTAAAAGAGAAGATCAGCATTCTTTATGTTTCACTCACTGTCAGTAAGTTTGACTAGAAATGTATGCATTGGCACCATGACCTAAGACAGTATTTAACAGGACAAATGGTTAAATACTAACGATATAGAGGATAAACACATGAATGTATGTCCTCTATACATTCAAATGTATAGAGGATAAAGTTAGGAGTGTTATGGGAATTATAAAAATAGTAGATTGGAATAATAAAAAAAAAAGATTTACAATTTTTTGAATGTTATTCGTCATTAGAACTTTGCAAAGAGATTTATGTCAAGGACCTTTTTTTGTTCCAACAGGGCCTGTTACATGAGACATTACATGATGGTGGTGTTTTTGTAAATAGTAACATTATATGTCAGTTTTACCCACTCCTTTCACTGTGGTTCTAAATGCTCTTATTGTCACTTTTGAATTTTATTATGCTTTTTTCCTGTGTTACAGCAGTGAAAGCCTCTTTTTTTTTTCTCATCCCTAAAGCCAATCAATGAACAGCAGCCTGTTCACGTCACATTTTGGTCCTGCTCAGCTCCAATGATCCCTGCTCCCAATCAGGGATTAAAAAAGCAAGTATTAGGATGGAAAAACTAGAAATGGAAACCCTTACAAAGTGGGCTGAGTACAGCAGAACCGTAGCTGTCTCCTTTGATGAACAACCATCCTTAGAGTCAGTGGAAAATGGGAACGTGAGGCTTCAAGGTGGGAAAAAAAAACAACCTTTAAAGGATGCAGTTATGTTCAGGTTTAAAGAGCTCCTACTTGATAATGGCGGACACGTTGGTGATCTTGTTGAAGAAGTCAAACTCTCTTTGGTAAAAGTCTTTGGCTGGGCCAGACAGAGATCCAATGATCTCCTCCACCATCTCTTCCAGCAGCTCCCCGATGTCCGCTGCATAAACAATCAAAAACAAAAATAAAAAGCAGACCATTTTTTTGCAGTCTTAACCCCTCAGGATGTGTTGTTTGTGTGCTCATGTTGATTCTGGATAAATATCTCACGGTCTTTATGGTGTCCCTCCTCGTCCAGGAACATGTTGGTCTTCATGTTCCAGATGAACTGGTGAGCCAGCAGCTGAGACTTCTGAGCAGCCCACAGGATGTACTCTCTCACATAGCCCATCTAGATTTGCAAAAATGGATAAAGTTAGGAGTGCAAGCACACTGAAAGAGTTTAAATAAATTTGCCACATCAGAAAATGAAGTGCCCACCTTATCGTACCGAAGGGCTTGGACAATTTGAGGAATATAAAATAAAATAGCATCCTAGTAACAAAATAAATGAGAAAAAAAATACTTTTAATGCATCCGTTTTGACTTATTAATACAAATTTTGCAATACTAATAGTAATTGTACATATTTTACGTGTGTATTTGCGTACAGGAGGAAAGGAGCGTAGCACTTTGACCCCATACTGGGCCGTGAGAGGGTGAGGAGGGTACATGGAGGAGAAGTAGGACAGTCCAGTTGGTGGATCTACTGGCGCCCAGCACAGGATATGACTCAGTTCTGGGGAGTCCGCATCAATTGTATGGCAGGTCACCAAGAACTGAAGGAAAAAGTATGAAGAATATAATTACATCACTTGGCCAACAAGGTGCAAAGAAAAGCCTCCAGAGGAAGCTCTGTTAATGAGTCATTTAGGTGTGTGTACAAATAAAACAGGTTGTAAAAATAAATTATGTAGAAAATGATTCAGCTCTTTGGGGACGACTGGTCTCCTGTTTCTTCTTTAAACACAGAGCTCATTAAGAGTTTGTTCAAGCAGAGCAAAACGACAAGGACAACAGGAACCTTCCAGAACAAAACATCAACTATGAGATCAGTGAGCAGCTTTTAATCAAAAACTTTAAGGCAAAGTGAGCGAACCTTCACTGCTTCAGGAACGTCACACACAGCAGCTGGATCCATTCGTACCAGACGCGTCACTTCAGACACAATGGACTTTGAGTTTTTAAATCTGAAACACACACAACACAAAACTGAGAACGTACGCACTGATGAAGAAGCAGCAATAAAGACGTAAAAAAATAAATAAATAAAAGGATTCACCCTTTAAAAACTGAACTTCAATATTTACATACAAATAAAAAAACGAATACATATTTTTAATTAAACCCATTGAGGTTTAATTCCTGTTAATTTGTGTACCTGGCAGGCAGCTGCAGAGCCAGGTGGGGAGATATGGTCCAGGCCATGTTGACGTTGTCTTTCCCCTGTTTTTCTGACAAACTGATGTATTTGGACCTCCAGTTGGCAATGCTGGTTTCCACCGACTGCTCTGTTGCGATGGCGAGCTCCTGAGTGGATAACGGGTTGTACCAGATAGTCAGACGCTCGATCTCACTGGCCTGGGGAAAAGCATAAAGACCTTTCATCATCAAGGACCAGGTTCTGTACTTGCCTTTGCTACAGTATATTTACAAATTACAAAAGTTAATGAAGGTGAATACCAGTAAAGCCAGTAACAGAATCCTGCGTTTCATGTAATATTTGTGCAGCTCGGATCCTCGGTTGTTTACTTTAGATAGTCCTAAAAAAAAAAAAAAAAAAATGACAGAAACAGATGAGTGATCTGTATGTCTATAGTAAACCAAAATAAGAAGGAAGGTTTAATTATGCTATTCTGAGAGTTTCACCTGACTTCTTGGAAATGGTGGACATCCCGGAGGTCAAAGGGTAAGTGTTGATCCATCCCTGGGCAATCTGCTGCCTCTGACCAACAACTGCGTCCAGACTGTTCCGGCTATCTGCAACTGCCATTACAGATAGGCCTTTCAATGACATCTCCTGGGGATCTAGACAAACACTAGTATCACAAAGCCATCCTAAATTCAGAACACATGTACGGTTTCTGAAGATCCTTTTTTTTCCCCATAAATCTGATTTGACTAGCAAGGAAATTCCTTTTAGTTGAGATATTAGTGAATTCTCCGTGTGTCTGAATGGATGATTCATTTATTTCCTGTGAAAGACCAGACCGTTTGTCAATGTTCTACCTGGTGGGACCAGCTGGGTGGCAGTCAGGTACTTCTTGTCAGACAGCAGGCAGGCATAGAACTTTATCATTATGCTGATGTCTTCTCTGAGCCTCTTATCTGCCTGAGTGGGAAACCTGGGTGCAACACTACAGAAAAACAGACAAAAAAAGGCGTTTATGACAAAATATTCAGTTTAAAATCCAAAAATATAGATTCCTATTCAATCTAAACTCATTTTAAACCCCCTTTTGTACCTGAAGAAGTCGAAGGCTGTGGAATAGATCTTTTCTCGCAGCATATTTCTGATAGTGGCGTTTGTCACAACATCAGCATGTAGTAGAGTTAAACCCAAAGTCAGCAGTCTGAAGGGAAGGAAAGTTCATGTCATACTGGACTAGTTCAGTGGTTTTTCAGTATTTTTACTAATCAGAGTGATGTTTTGATGATGACAAATAATACCTGAATCTTGGCCCAATGGCAGCGACGTGTCGGTTCATGTTGCTTTTGGATCCTCCGATACTCAGTGAAAGAGATCTCTGCAAAATGGAAATGAAGATCTCCACCTGGTCTGCACTGCTGTATTTGGCTATCTCGAACCTCTGCACCAGGAACTGAAAGCAGAGCAGGAAAAGGTTTGGTGCGAGTCAGAATTAAAATAGTCCAGCAGTAGGTACGGGATGAACAAGGATGTTTTCTGTCTTAAAACAATTCAGGCAGGACAGATGTACTAAAACTCCCTTTTCTATATTTGGAGAGGTCAACCAAGATTAAAACAGCAGCTCGTTTAAAAAGTGTGTCTGTATTAATTTAATTCATTCAATTGCTTTCTGAATGCAAATAGGATGAGAAAAAAGCCACTGAAATACAAAAATAAGCAAAACTACTCAGTTAGCGCTAAAACACTGACGTTTACAGTGATAACTTGACAAAATGTGAAAAGTTCAAGATTATGAATACTTTTGCTGGGCATGCAAACCTTTAGTCTTCTAATTTTTTCAACACCTCACTGAGAGTGCAAAAGTACATTTTAAGTGTTTTTCCCACAGCAACAACTTCTACACTACAGAGCACTGTTTGTACGATTCGATAGGGCTATTTTGTAAGGTCTGTAAAAACCAAAACTATGAAGTAATAGTCAGTCAGGTAGCAGCTGGACAAAGTATGAGCACGTGATTTCTGATGAACAAACATTTGAATTGTTCTTCCTACAGTTTCACATTACTTTAACATTACCATAACACCAGTGAAATTAAAACATAAAAATTCAAAAAGAAAAGATCAAAACTGAACTCATCTGACTGACCTCTATCCAGAGGAAGTGAGGTACGACATCGGGAGCGCAGGGTGCAGGCTGGCTTCCCTCCGAGACAGCTAGGGGTCCGGCCCCGACTTGAGTTTCTGAAAACAAACCCATCTTCAGCTCCACGCTCATCTGCCACGCTCCGGCCATCTCACGCATGAACTAAAACGGAAAGAATTACAATATTTAAACACAAAGATGCACAGGCGTTTTTTAATATATTGGTGACATATTTTTTTAAAAATACGTAGGAAATACATACTGGCACTTCCACCCCATTGTGTGCAGCAAGCAGCCATTCCCAGCAGGCGATAGCAGTTTCCATCCCATGCTCTGAAAACATCTTCAGCGGAGACCAGCACACATGGTGCAGCAGCTGTGGATCACAGTCTGAAAGCACAAAATCACATCGCAAATTCATATTTTGATTTTATGAGACAGAATGGCCGAGAGCTGATACTCACTTTTGGTATTTATAAGCAGAGCGGCCATCTTGAACATGCATTGCGTGAAGGCTTCAGGGTCTTTTCTTTCCAGAGCGCTGGTCATCTGACTGATCATCAGCTTGGTAAGGTCAGAGTGGCTGTGAGTTGCTTCTGAAAACTGGATCATACCAGCCACCTAATGAAAAAAAAAAACACAAACAGATTGATGAATTATGCAGTCTGAATAAAATCTGCAGGAAACTAATTTAATGCTAAGCTTTACCTCTCCAGTGTACCGGTTCCTCAGGTTGAGTGATGCCATAAAGTTGGAGTAATCCTTCTTCACACACCCTGGTCTCTCTGTCAGCTGAGTCACCTACAGAGAAAACACACTTTGTAAAACTTAAGACCAAACAGCGAAAAGCCTGTAGAGTAAAACATGCATCTTTGCAGTAACCGTTTAAGATAAAATTATCATGCAATGCTTAAACCTTGTCTCTCTGTATTTAGTGTTGAGACCAACCTGAGGGAAAGCAGCCTAGTGTTGGCAGCACGATGGAAGACAGCATCAGTTTAACCAGTTAGCCAAATGGGCAACCACCCATTCAACCCAACCGTCCATTGCAGGTAAGTAACCAGGAAAGCCGTAAATCAGCCAAGCAACCAGGAAGGCAGTTAAATAAAGACAAACACATCAAATGAAGCAAATAAAAAGACAGATTGAGCAGAATGCAAGCACAGGAGCATATAAGAAATGCTCAGCAAGCAAAATAACGTCACACAGAGCATGCACACACACAGCATACAGTTCCGTAAGCAGGCAGATATCGGTTGTTTACAGGCCAACTGTATGGGTTTCAAACTGAGTGCAATATGTTTGCACAAAACAAGACTTCATCAGTGGCAAGAAAAAAGCCAGGTGGCTGCCATAAATGGCACATGTGCTCTTGAAAAAGAAAGCAATCAATACCGAAGTTTAATAAGTAACCAGCCAGTGGGCAATATAAGGTAGCAATATTTATTGGAGGTACCAGAAATATAGATATTGATGATGACCAATAACAGACATGTGTTATATAATTCTGTACACTTTCAACACTCTGAAAATACATGACCACACGGCTGACGTTGTTCCCCTGCTTTGGTTAAATATCCCTCAATCCTTTGAGGCATTACTGTTACATGCTGAAACAAATATCACATGATCAACCCGTCTCCAACCGAGACACACACACAAGTGACAAGATAAAAATCAACACTGTCCATTAATACCACCCCAGTTTTACTCATCGCACCAAAACATATGTTAAAAATGAATAACATCGGCTGATATTAGCATTAATCTCTATTCATGCTGTATAATTTTGACAGCATGAAAAAGAGAAAATGCACTATTAGTGTGGACCCATTTTTTGTTTTTCTTGTTTCATTGAGGTTGTGTGTTGTATCATCACTACCCTCCAGAAAAACATGTTTTCAAATAAATTATTAAATTGCGATTCATGCCCAAGATGTAAACTGTGTTTGCTTACATCTAGCTAAAAGGGTTTAGTAATCGCTTGCCATTCAATAGGTACATCACAATTTTTATAGCCATCTAGTTTTTATCTTTATTTAATCTAATTTTTTTAAATTATGCTGATTTGAAGTATGTGTTATTGTGCATCTGTGACTCACCCCCAGTGTAGTGCTCTGCCTGTTGTAGCCTGCAAAGTGCAGAATGCTTTCTGTGGCCATGGCGAGGCCTGTGTGCTGAGTGAGTCCTGACACCCAAATCTGATGTTTGTTCAGGTACTCCTGCATGAAAATTACCAGAAAACATTAACCTCATAAAATACTTTTGTAAAGCCAATCTTGACTTGATTATTCTGGTAAAAAAAAAAAAAAAATCCATTGACTTTATTACATCTGTCAGTGATAAAACAAAAAACCTACCTGTAGGTGGGACTTTGTGACCGAAGGGGCCCATTTCATTGCTTCTTTTAAGATCTCACCACAGCGTGCCGCAAAGTCCTTAACGATGCTCTGCAATGAAATGCAAATGTAAAACTTACTCATTAAGAACATGAGCAAATATTTTCACTAAATGAGGTACAGAAATTAACTTCACTCTTTAACTTATTTCAGCACAGTGTATCACATTATCAAAAACTAATATTTGTACCAGTTATCACTTTATTTTTTGTTATAAAATATACTCTGAGGATTCACACTAAAATCGATACATATGTGTAAAATAATACTACGCTGCCCTCTAGTGTCCAAATGTGGTTTCACAAGTCAGACTCACCTCTCGAGCTTCGTATGTGTCTGGAACAGTAATCCTGTAAGGTGTGTCTGGAATGTCATAGTAAGGTTGATCCTTGTGAATGTCCTAAATAAAGAACAAGGAAATGTATCATTTATTATATAACTTCAAACATTTAAACCATTACAACTGCTGGGCCGGGAGTCAAAAATTATTTCTTAACAGTAAGTGAAAATAATGCAAGATACAATGATGCTTATTGACTGTTATATATTTAATTTTCAAAAAAATAATCAAATTCCTGCCTGTTCTTCTAGTTTATTTCCAAAGTTGTTGTTTTTTTGTTTTTTGTTTTTTTTGCTCTCATATTTTGATATTCTAATCTACCACCTCAGGTTCAAACTGCACGATTTTTCCATTCAACACATTTAAAAATCTGGAAAATGTCCTTGTTTTGTGTCCGGCCTTTATATTAAGTAGAAACCTGACCAACTGAGAACAGCTTTCAACAATCATCACATTGAGGGATTTCCCCCCCCCCCCCCCCCCCACCCCCACCCCATTCTTGACCATACTGAAAAAGTCAAAAGAAAAAAGGAACT